ATGGCGCTACTGCTTGGTGAACCTATAAAGTAGAGCCGAGTCACCCCTCCGCCGTGCCCCCGCGTGAGGCGCGCAGAGTGCTGCCAGACAGCCCCCCCTCCCCTCTCGCGGCAGCCCGCGCGCTCGCCGCCCCCCCCCCAGTGCGCCTGGGAGACGTCTGCACCCGCCTGCTCGGCGGGCCGGCAATCAGGCGCGGGAGAAGAAGGTGGAGGATAATTAGAAAGGGGAGAAGGAGGAGGAGGAGGAAGAGGAGGAGGAGGAGGAGGAGGAGGAGGAGGGAGGAGGAGGAGGGGAGGAGAGGAGAGGAGGAGGAGGAGGAGGAGGGAGGAGAAGGAGAAGGAGGAGGAGGAGGAGGAGGAGGAGGAGGGCGCCCTCCTCCTCGACGTCTTCGCCGTCGTCGGTGCCGTCGCTCGGAGATCGGACCACGGCATGAGCCTAAACTTTCGGAGTAGCGCGATCGGATTTCTCGGATCGGCACCGGGGCCCCCTGGGCGGCACCTCCGGTGCCGCCCCTGTCCTGTCGCTCTCCGCGAGCCAGCGAGGGGGGTGAAGCGCCGATCCGAGGAACCCGCGCGGGACTCTGGAAGTTTATGTCTACGTCGTTATTTGCTCCCCGAACCCAGGCCCTCCTCCTCGGCGTCTTCGTCGTCGCCGGCGTCGTCAAGGGCCGCGGAGGACCCTGACAGCCCCACGTCGTGAAGAATCCACGCCGGCTAACTTCTGGACGTTTTCGACCTCTGGGGGCCCTTGCCGGGACCTGCGACCGCCAGAAAAACCACTCAAGATGAAAGGCCGGCACCCCCGGGCAGACGTCCAGCCACGCTGCGGAGCAAGAATCCGACGTCCGATGCCTGAGGAGGTCCGTGAGCGATTGCGCGGCTGAGCCGAAAGCTACAACGAGGCATCACTTTGAGTACCATGTGGGACCTGGTCTAAAGCAGGAGCACACCGTGGACGGATCTACCTTTTTCTCCCACAGCCCCTATATATGTGTCTTCTAGAAGACGGTAGACTTTGCCCTTCAAAGCATCACAAGAGGAGCACGTGGGAAAGATGAAGCGCGCCGCCAGGTAGCATCTACAGCCACGATGAGGCTGGGGAGACCAAAAAGTACCGATACCGCAACTCCCCGGACCTCTCCCGGGGCACGTGCCAACCAGAGTTTCGAGGCGAATCCAGCGGTGGCGCCGAGGGCCTCCCAGGAGGCCCCCCAAAAAGGGAACGCGAGTATGGGTGCCTCTTCCTCCTCCGAGAGGCATCACAAGAGGAGCGCGTGGGAATGGGCGGCGAGAGGTGCCATTCTCGTGCCCTGAAGGGCTCCCCTGGTGGGCCCGAAGGAGCCCTTCTAGGGGGACTGAAGTTACCAGCCTGGAACATATCCATATCCCTATGATGGGCACCTCCTCATTTGATTCCCTTTTCCATATCTTATGGATTCCCTTATTTTTGAAGGCGAATCCCTAAGATTGTCATCGCCTTTTGGCGTGCCAATCTTAGGGATAGGGATACGTTCGAGACTGGTAATGAAGGGCCCCTCTTCGGTAGCCCTCGCTCCATCCCCCTTATTCGCCATCGTTCGGACGTCCATTTCCCGTGCATTGTTCGATGTCGTGCGTGTATTGTTCGCGAGATGGTCCAAGATGCTCCTCGATGGTCCCCGCCGAGGACACACGCACACGTCCGAGCAATACCAAGATCGATCGTCCCCGCATATGTCGCCGCCCAAGTGGGAACGATGGAGCTCGCTCCTGCAGAGGAGGAGGAGGAGAAAAAGGAGATGGAGGAGGCGGAGGAGGAGGAGGAGGAGGAGGCTGAGGAGGAGGAGGGGGAGGAGGAGGAGGAGGAGGAGGAGGAGGAGGAGGAGGAGGAGGAGGAGGAGGACGAGGAGGAGGAGGGGAGGAGAAAGAGGAGGAGGAGAGGAGGAGAAGAAGAAAAGGGAAAAGAAGGAGGAGGAGGAGGAGGGGGGGTAGGACAAGCTAGGTGCGCTCGCGTCGTATCTGACATCCTACCCCTCCCTTCCCATCCCTTACCATGGCGCAGATGCCCTCTCTACTCGCACAGTCGGATGTCGAGCAGGGCAATGATCCCGAAGGGGTACGCAAGGCATTGTAGAGCACGGCGTGGCATGGCGTAGAAGAGCACCGCGAAGCGTCGTATCAACCTAGCATTGCATTGCATGCCGTGACATGGCACGGGAAATGACG